AATAACAATGTACAAACTACAAATAGAAAATTTAGCCTATAAATTAAAAAGCCTTCGGCTCAAATCAAGTGAAGAGTCGAAAGTCGATAAAAACGTGTTTTTCCATCTAGCAGACTTGGATCAAAATCGCTACCTTCATATTTGCAGGAATTTCAAAAAAATAAAAACAAAAATCCCCACCTTCAATATTAAAACAAAAAAAAGGACATATATTAATGATGAGTATATAGTTATAATATAAGAGGCTGGTAATGCCCAATTAAATTATGCAAAAGCAATTTCAGCCGAAATAAATACACTCAAAACCTATAAACCATGGCTTTGGTCCACACTAGCAGCAAAGACCATTCCTAACATAATATTTCTATACACCGTTAGCAACTTCCAACTTATTTACAGGGACAAAAAAGAGCCAGTAGAGCGATATCTCAAAAGCAACATCCTCCACCACTTACCAAAAAATACAACAAATGCTGTGGCCTGCCATTTCACCTTCAAAATGGGTAGCTCAAGCTGATGCTCGTCTACAATGTAGATTTCTTGTAGACTTTGTGCCTTTCAACAACAATGATCATCAGGTCGTGTAAACATTTCACTTCATCCTTTCAAGTTATCCTTGATTATCCTGTTGCAATACCTAGCCAGCCCTATTTACTGCTTTCATTTTCCATGCATCAAGAACAAAGAATCAATCTTTCCTGTTGAGGACTCCAAACAAGACCCATGGAGGGTTTTTAACATAATCAATATCTGGCTGCAGAACAGAAAATCATACTAAATTTCCTGCTATCAACCGTGATTGAAAGAAGTTTTCAAGTTCTCATCTTGTAGCGTCCAAGATAGCAAATGGCCGCCAGAATCCCCACTCAGCAATTGCTTCAGGTCAGTAGTCAGGTGAAGAGCAGTAACTGGGTGTCTATGAAACTTCAGGACCTTATGGAGCATCAACCTGTACTCTGGGGTCCCACTGCCCAAATCTAAGCCTACCGTTCCGCTGCTAGTTGATTTATTTGTGGCAATTTCTTGCTCAGTGCAATGAACCATATGCCAGACTTTAATAGCCCCACTCTGGTGACCAGTTGCATACCAGTTGGTGTCCATCCAATCAGAAAATGTACTACTTGTCACAGAAAGAATAGAATCTGATGGCAATTGGGATGTATTAACCACTGCTAGACAGTCCCCATTGGTGCTCCAAACTGCGAGCAGAATTCCAGCGGCCGTCACAATTTCCCCTGTCATATCATTCACATAGATTGCTGAAACTGGTGCAGGGAACTCAGGAAGCTGCCGGACAAAACCCAAGGAACTCAGATCCCACATAATAACAGTGCAATCATCTGATCCACTAACAATCAGCATATAGGGTTGACTGACATGAAGACATGTAACTTTGGCTGTGTGGGCGCAGAGCACCTTTTCCAACTCTAAGCACCGTGTTGCACGGGGTCCGCCCTTGCTGATTCTCCAAACAGAAACTAAGCCATCATCAGCACCGGTGACCAAAATGTGACCATCATGACTAACACCAGCACACTGGATCTGGTATCCTCCATGAAGATTCTCGTGGGTCGAGAGTAGTCTATCTTGATCGTAGCTCATAAATCTCAAGCTGCGATCTGGAAAACCCCACGTTACATATTTGGTATATGTTCTAGGTTTGAGCAAAGTATCTGACCCAGCAATGAGAATCTTCTCATGTAAAGTAACAATCTGCTTAATGGGAGATGAGCTTTTACGTATTTCATGTGGAACAAGAAGATTTTGATGCTTTAGTGGATGAGGAAGCTTTCTGTCAGACCGCCTCTTTACATGGGGTTTGAGGAAGAGTTGTTTAGGTGTCTGTCCAAAATGATTGATCTGTGCTAGAATTGAAGCTTTCATTGCAGGATCTCTAACTGAGTCAATGTCCACACTCCCCTCGTATGTGTAATGATAGAAAACATTCACAGCTTCTTCAGCCACCTGCCAATCATGATGACATAAAGAATTAGAACCCAAAGTACAAGCTAAGTTTAAGCCTCTAAGATCTCAGCTTGGAATGACAAACATAATTGGGGTTATACAAGTCAGACCAGGAAAATGAAAGAATAGAAAATATAACTAAATTAAAATACCACATCAGATGCAAATAAAGAACTGTCTTCATCTTTTTATATTAAACACAGTTTATTAGTTTGCAACAGTGAAGGCCAGCCAGGAATTAGGAAGCCGAGCATGTCAACAACAACAATTAATAACTCAGTAACTGTTTGTCCACAAGATCATTTTAAAATTTTCAAAGTTAATTTCAGTTTGGTTGCCAACAAAACACAAGGCATGAAGTACGGAAAATTTGCAAAATGTCAAGAGTTTGTTGCTCTTGAGGAGATTCCGAAACAAGCTTCCTCTAAATTTCAACATCAATCCATAAAGCATGAAAATATATTATCAAATAAATGGATAAAACATAAAGGGAAAATAAGAATATCATATAGAGAAAAAATATATATATATATAAATAACTAAAAAGTAAAATAGATATCCACACAGATGATATACTTGGAAGCATTAAAAAATGTGGAAATCATAACTCAAAACAAATCAAGAAATTAATTTAAAGCACATAAAAGATTATTGCAGAGATTGCCTACACCTACCTTCCCTCTCTGTTTATATCCAAAGATAAGGTCAATCCAATGATGCAGATTTTCTGAAACGTAATCAGATTCTAGAGCTTCTCTATGCTTCCGGATGAACTCCCTGGCACTGCCTTTGGCCCAAGGAGGTAAGATGATGTCATCAACCTGGATGTAAAAAAAATATATTACAATAAGTCTTTGAGACATTATAGCAAAATGATAATTATATGCTTTTGCGAATCAGTATTAGCATAGGCTGAATAACAAATCAAACTTCAGTAACCACGACCCAAGGTTCCAATTTTAAACTAGACTGACCTTTTCCCCAGATTGTTTCTCGCCCAAATTGAGATTGAACCTGTTTTCCAGAAACTCAGGCATGTAGAAGAATTCTGGAATCAATTCTTTCACATCTGATGTGTTACCCTTCCCAGCAGCACTTAACCATGTATCTCGCACACTATTAAAGAGACGATCAGCATGATCAAACTGGCCACCTTGTAGCTTCTGGTTTTCTGCACTGAATGGTGGCAAGCGAAGAAGATAAAAGAGGACAATTCCAGCACTTGAATAATGAGAACCATAATGGAATTTTGGAACCTCCGGATCATCCCAGCTCTCATACCTGAAATATAAAAGAGAACCATAAGCAGTAAAAATGCATGCTAACTCAGTCCAATATGTACTGAAGACTACCAAAAACAACTATGCTGCAGATCATGATGACAAAGCTTCACATGCAATCATGAGGGAATGAAATATTAGGGCTGACCTTTTCTTAAATTCCTCTTCTCCTTCTGGTGTCTGACAACCCATGGGTTTGTCAAGCTTACGAAAAGTTTTTGGATTTGATAAATCCAGATTTTCACTTTCATAGTCTGCCAGGACCCATGGAAAGACTGGATACTGGGTGAGATCACTATATCCACGTCCTGCCAAGGTATTGAGGTGCATGAGGTATTGGAAATTGCTAATTTCTCCATTTTGCCACCTCTTGGAGAATGATTTAGCCATAATTTTAAAAAGCCGACCACCCTCGTTACTTTCCTGTTTTGTTGATCCTGAAATGGTTGTGTCCAACCTAATGAAAGGAAGAGGATTCAAAGTAAACAATCTTTTCAACAGCACAAAAGACAAGTAAACACACATAAGCAAAGCCAAGACATAAATGAAGAAAGAAAATATACCAATCAAAACTGAGACCACAAGGAAAGGACATGAGTAAAAGGAAGAACTAACTAGTAATGACCAGAAAGATGATCAAATAGATAAACAGAGCCAAAAGCATTAAAAATTTAGAAACATAACCAATAGGAGAATAGATTTCATACATGCTGTTCCTTGGAAGATTCATGGCAATCAGGTTCTTGAAAACTTCTTCCCTCTCTTTTTTGTGGAATACAAGGAGATCATTACATCCATCCATGCTAAATATCTCAACAGCAACAGGACGCAACTGATAATCACGCTTCAAAATCTCATGAACACTATCAAGCTTCCACATATGCCAAGGATGGGGTAGATTACCACCACTGTGCACTTTCTCCTTTCCCCATGCACCACCATTATAGGCCCAGGCCCTACCTCCCACCCATGTCTTTGCTGGTGTAACCCAGGATGAAGTTGATTTGGACTGAAAATCCATACTACCAGTCACATCTTTCTTTACACCCAGAGCCTGGTCAATAACAGAGAGTTCATCTTCACATTCCTTCTCACAAATGCAACCAGAATCGTCAATGTAAAAGTTCTCTATTACATACAAACAAAGTTCCCCTATCAGAAATATACCATCATGTTTGTCAAGACCAACAACTCGCTCACAGTTATATCTAAATAGTATCTTTTCAAGAGGTTCCAGATAAGGTCTAATTAGATATTCTCCATTGTTGTTCATTTCCTTATCTGACTTATCCTCAGTGACTTTCACTTCTTCAATTTTGGTAGAAGATGACTGCCTTGGAGATCCTAGGTCAGATTTTTCTGGTTCTGATATAGGGACAGACATGGCACTTGACTTGCCACCAAACTCAAGGGCAGAGTGAAGGCTTGCTTCATTTACACTGCTGGTTCTATCATCATTCCAGTCATTTTTAACAGATGTTACATCTTTCACATCTTCCGATTCTTTAAACAATGATCCATCATCTAGTTCAACATCAACACCATTTTGTTTGGCAGTATCAGAAAAAAGATTAAAAAGTGTGTCAGAACCAGAATCAGAAATGTCAGGACCATCCTCAATTTTGGCTTTCGAAAGCTCTGTTTCTCCCAATTCCAGCTGCCCATCAAGAACATTTTGGATACCATCAATTCTTATTTTACAGTGCTCCAGCTTTTTCCGCATTCTGTATGGACCTTCAATAGGACAAAGCTGCCATTCAGGATCTTCTACCATAAAGGATCTCCGTATAGGAAATATTCCCCGCTCATGTACAAGTTGCTGGAGATGGGTTTGCCATTCACTCTCAGCATGCAGAACCCATCCATATTTGTCTTGGCGGACAACCCTGAGCTCAGTAGACATTGCATCACGAAGCACTTCCAGTGCGTATCTCCTTTCATTTACCTGCTCCCAGTGCCTTAGGTCTAATTTTACAGTATCTCGTGATTTTCTTCCCATTTCCTTCTTACGGCGACCCTCGATGCCTTTTATTCTGACCCCGGGAAATTTGGCTGATCCAGCAATGTACTGCACCCACATAATTGCAGCAGACTGCTCTAATACTTTATTTACAATCTGTTCAGAGCTCTGAAGCCACTCAAAGAAAGAAGATAAACTTCCAGTCAACAATTTGTCGAAACCACCATGTAGTACATCAAGGTGCTGTCCTTGAGTTGCTTTAGAGACAAGCAATTCTTCCAGTGAAGCTCTTCGATGCACCAGTAAATACTTGACAATATCAATTGCCATGTTCTGTACATTTTGCCTCTGGTCTTGAAGAAGAGAGAATAAATTTATGCAAAGACAGCAATTCAGATCAGTATCAAGGTTGCTGGGGCAGAATATGATTCTTCGGTGAGCAACTAATAACTGCAAAACAGTGCAGATATCAATTCGTGAATCTTCTTGTGAAGAATTAGAGGATGATCTTTTCTTAGGTTCTGTAAGCAGACCCAAGGATGATGGTAGAAAGCAATACAGTATCATACGATTTGTATTCTTTAGAATTGAATGAATATAAGCATCAAGTTGCCTGTTTCCTCTTGCAATTGACAAAAGGCCCTTTCCAGCAGGAGTTGCTTCTTCAATTCTACCATTTTTGTTTGCTAATTGCAACATTGACAAGAAGAACTCTAGAGTCCTTAGTACACCAGCAGGTTGGGGGAAAGCACCCATGTAAAGACGGTCAACAACCATCCAGCACAAAGCATCTAAGTTTGAGGACCATTTGGTCTTATCCAGCTTTTTCTCATCTTCTTCATCATCACGCAAGAGACGCCTTTCAAGAAAATTCATTAGTCTACTAAGGCACAAACCTTGGAAAACCAACACAGATTCAGCTTCAACATATAGAGGAACCATTTCCAAGATGCTCTCCACTACTTGGGCTGCTTTCATCTGCTCAGTCATCAAATCAGCTAGAACTTCTCCCATAAAATCTATCACAGCAGTTGCACCAGCAGAACAAGGACCACCACCATAGCCAGAATCATCCATATCTAGAAGAAGCTTTGGAGTTACAGAAAAAAATGTAGTGGCAGTGGACGACCCCTGAGAACCAGACTTGAAATCTGAGGATGGATCAAACTCGCTAAAAGATACAGAAGACTCAATGGAAGGAGAGGGAACCATGGCAGTTTGAGATTCATTATTGTTTGTACTAAACCACGAAGTCGGAGCACTTACAGGAGATAAAGAAAGTGTGATAGATATTTTGGAATTGGATTTCTCAGACAAAGTGGGAAAATCTAGCATAGGAAGGGGTGCAGAACTCTGGGAATCTGGCTGTTGAATTGGACTCATAGTACCCTTGACATTATGGAAGCCAAGCTCATATGAACTTGTAGTAGCAGAAAACAGATCAACATTATCACCATCTAAACTCTGAATAGCCTGTGCATCCACATCCATTGCTTTGCTTAATTCCTCCTGAGACATGGTAATCTTAGACCCTGCTTTATCTTCAGTCATCAATTTAGAAGGTGTATTCATTTCCTCAGAACTTGTACTAACCTGTGCCTGAGGGAAGCTTCCAGCACTGATTGAAGTCTTACTAGACTGTTCATGTTCTGGAGGCAAGCTAGAGAATGTATTCTGTGAGCTAGCGTCATCACAATCATTCAAATTCTTTTCTTCCGTCTTTACAGAGAGCCCTTTTACCTTCTTCACTGCATCAGCAGCCCTGAGATAAACAAACCAATCAAAGTTTATGTAAGAATCCTGTTAATGTTGTTCTGTTTCAGAGTAAACCAGTGCACAAAAGAAATTTTCAAATCAAAGAGATAAGCAATATCAAGACAAACCTAACACAGGAAAAGTAAAGGTCAACACAGCTTTCAAGAAACTCTGCCCTTCTGCAAACAGCAGAAAATGGGGGGCACATTTTGGCCAGATCGACCATGAACCTCAGAACTGAAGTTGCAGCAGCAGGAGCTGATGCCTCCCCACCCATTAAGCGTGCTGCATATGTCTTGTGCATTAGAGCTTCACCCTGAAGCTCTCCAGCCATATCTGCATTTTCCTCCACAAGCTCTGCCACAAGTTGGGAAAGATTACCAGTTTCATGGACAAGCATTGACTGCATGCGCAACCGATCAAAGGTAGATTTAGCCATAGCAATTACGGACTCCAATAGTTCTACAAATTTCAACTCCTTATGGCCTCCATTACTTGGCATTAAAGCATGGAAGTCAAGCATGCGGACCTCTGGTAATCTTGGATAAACAGGCTTCCCAAATATGAGACAGAACAAGATATAATATATATCAGGAGAATCATAGAAACTAGGAAGCACTCGCACCAAACCTTGGTAACCTCCACTTGTGCGAAATTTGAGCGCAAATGTTGTAGAAGAAGCCAAACACACACCAAGAAGAGTCATAATCCATCTCATACTTGTAGGATGGACAGCTTCCTCAAGAAAATACGTTATCAATTTGGAAGAGACAATCTTATGCCATTGCTCAAGCATATCTTCTGCTTTGATGGTTACTTGAAGATCAATAAGCATCTCCAAAAGCATATTCCTAACAATGACATGCTTTCCCATTGATTCCCGCACTATTTGATGCCGCGGTTTCATCTCGGGTGGGTCAAATGTCATAATGATAAACCTAACCACATTTTCAAGTTCAGAAGCCAGGAATCCATCTTCCAAAATTACTCCAAGCAGTACAACCAATTTTTCCAGGACTGGAACTTCAACGTCACCGCGTTGTAGAGTGACTAGTAAATGTTGAACAAGGTTTATTTGACGGAGAACTGTAAGGTTGTGATTTCTGTACCAGTGCATTGACACTAGATGCTCTAGAAAACCAAGCAGTGCAATTTGAATGGAAACTGGGGCAGCTACCCAGAGTGTCCAATCCAATAGGACATGTTCTACCATATCTGCATTTGACAACACAATGCAATTTGAAGTTTCAACAGGCATATCAGTATTTTCTAGCTCTGAAATATGACTGAATGAATCCCTTTGCCCAGAAAAATCATCCAAGTCTCCATGAGATCCAACTGAAGAAGTTTCATCTCGAAACTTCGAGAAATTAATATCCTCAAAGCTAGTTTCCTGAATAGTTGCAATAGGTGATATGGTAGTTTGCTTATGTTTCAATCTCTTTGGTTCAGAAAATGAAGCTTCACATGCAGCAATCTGGAAAAATATTTCAAGGCACTGCATATCAAATAATGACATCCGTCGATGCAGGAAGAGTGCTAGCAAATGGTATCCTCTGTATGTTTGCATGTCTCGTACATTTTGAGGATTCTGATGAAGTGCACAAGCAAGTAAAGATAGGGCCATATGGAGCATATCCCTAGTTTCAGCAGCTTCAACAAGCACCAAAATAACAGCCATTCCACCAACAGGGCGGATGGTATCACCTATCACACATTGCCTGCAAATATAGATATCCCCGCAAAGGCGCCCAAAGCGTGGTATGCCTGCAAAAGGAAAATAGAACATAAAAACAATTTTCACATTGAGGGGACTTACCAGTTAAATAACAATACATCTAAACTTCAAGTCTTCAATCGTAGAAAAGTTTATTTACCTCCAATTGGAGAAGCAGCAGCCGACATAGGATCAACCATATTGAGCATTAAAAATGTCCCAGATGCTCGAACAGCTTCTGTACACGTTCCATCAAATGCAAAAATGAGTTTCTTACCAGAGAGCTGAAGTGAAAGGTTCCCCAGTCTATCCAAATCCCAAACAATCCCACTGCCATCAGCCTTAGAGTCCCCTTGCCTGCTTCCACTGTCAAGCTTCTGTGTATTAGAAGCCAAAGGCAAATCAGCATCTAATGAATCTAAAATAGCCATGCTACCACCACCACAAGCCTGGTTAGGAACAAAACGCAGCAGATCCGAGTCTTGGAAAAGCCCTCTATAGCCTCTACCAAGGATGTACATGAAACAAATACAGCCAGGTGTGAGCACTTCCTCAAAGAGATAGCAAGAGCGAAGTCTCCAAGTCAAATCACTAACTCTTGCACAATTAATTGGAGTCCCAATAGTTACTTGTAGAGATTTTCCAATTGGAGAAGGTGAATACCCTAATTTCCCTGTGTGTCTTAGCTTCCCATCAAGATAAACATAAGCAACACTTGCTTGGAATAATCCAGCAAGGGCATTTGGTTTGCTATGTATAACAGCAAGATGATGCCACCTGCCTTCTTCTAGCTCTAATCCAGAAAATGATAAGGAGGAAGAGTTGCTGGTAGCCAGGGTTAGAACACCATCCTCTTGAAGATAAAGCTCTGCATAGAATGCATTCTCATTATTTGTTACTGCACCAACAGAAAATAATCTGAGAATATGCCGCTCCTTGTGCTGCCCACTAGGGCTGGTTTGTCTCTTTGAAAGACCAGCTTTGGTAGGCTCTGTATCTTTTGCTGATGTTCTGAAAAAATTTTTAAACTGAAACCAACAAACAAATGAATAACCAGCTGCAGGAGGCCAAGATCTTTCTCCCAGAGACACCTGAACAGAAGCATGCCCAACCTTGCTCATATCCATCTCCACAAAGGGAGCCAAAGAAACATTTTCCAAGGCTGTATCTTCCATTAGAATTAAATTCTCCATCATATCAACAATAATATGACCAGATTTCACCAACCTCATTTGAAGGATATATCTAATAAGCACTCGCATCTCTGAGGCAGACAACCTATCATCAGAAATATAAACTTTATTTACCAAAGGTAACAAACCACAAAATTATGCTGAAATGCATTGATTAAATGCAGTGATCTCTAGACATGGCCAGAATGGATACCTGTGTGCCCCAAGAACCTCCACAATCTTCAAAGCATAAGAAAGGAATGGAGATGAGCTTGAAAGGAATGGATGAATCATCTCCAATAGAAGTTCCACACAACCTAAGTACATTGAAAAAAGAAAACAGTTAAAGAACACTAATGCTTAAATGAAAAAGGGTAAAGAGGATCTTTGAGATCCATTTCTCACCTACAGAGGTGAGATTTTCCTGATTGAAGGGTCCAGCACGGGCGAGTCTCTCAATAAGGTTCAGCACTTCTAACTGCACCTTTGGTGTAAAAAGCAACAATGACCGGATCAGAACTCTAACTGCTCCAGCATTGTATACTCGTTCTTTATCAGGATTAAACAAACCAGATGGGGTGGTTAAAAGAAAGCTAGTTGACTCATTTTCGACCATATAAACAGATGTTGAACTCTCTGGTGTCAAGAAAGGTGGAAGCACGATTTCAAGAGCAAGTTCCAACAGCAGCTGTATCACTTGCTTCTCACACTCCACACTCAGCAAGCCAGATTCAGATAGAAGATCAAAAAATGATTGTGAAGAAATGATAGCATGCAATTTCATCCTATTAATAGCATTACCACACACCCCAGACGTCACAAGGCGTAACAAATATGTAAACACCTTGATGTGAACTGCTAAGGAAGACTCTTCCATGTGTTCTCCGTCAGTGTGAAAACTGTGGAGTGTGGTTAGCAAAAGAGAAAGCCCAGTGGCTTCACCAAACACCCTTTGAGCTGAATTATTGACCCCTAGAATTCGCCACAAGGCTCCCATAGTGTCGCATTTTGCATCACTTTGAAGCTTATATTGATGTCCAGAAACACCTATAACCATTCCACTTTTTAAGACTTCAACAAGTGCCCCTAATTCTTCAGGATGAGCCTGAAAGTGAGGAAAACAATAAAATTTCATTCATACAGCAACAACACTCTATCAGGCGGTTTGAAAGTTAAACACAGAGTGCAAAATGAAAAAAAAAAAAAAAAAAAGTCCCAGAAAAAACATGAAGAAAAGATGTAGATTCTTGAAATAAGATCTGTCTGAATCTAAACCTATCAAATAGAAAAACAAGCATATTCATATACCTGCATGATATCTTCAGTGATCAAGCATGATAATACCCGCAGGACCCCAGGGCGATGAGTACTAGACACCAAAAAGGGGATAACAGTTGTCATGCCATTAGCTGACCGGAATGCTGCTTGACTTGCTTCAGCTTTCTTTATTAATGAGACCATACAATCCCAGGCAACACCAATTGTAGCCTCGACTTCAAAAATAGGGAACTTCCCTGAACCAGATTCCATGAGCTTGGGTGAGGCAATAATAACATCCTTACTGTCCAAATGCTTCTGGAAGCTGCTAGAGCTCGATTTTCTCTCCAACTGATTAGAGTTTCCACAGTGTTGTTCTGCGCCCAAAAGAAACTTATGCTGCTTCAAATCATCCAAAAGGACTTCTAACACACCAACTTCTCGTAGGACTTTCTTGTATTGTTGATCAAAAGATAAAAGTTTTACAAAAAATGAAAGTATGGTGAGCTTCAATTCTGACGTAATTGGTTGCTGCAACAAGCAACATAATGAGAGCAATTCTTGCTCAGGGACGCAATTCACAACAGTCACAGCGTATTCAAGAATCTTCAAGATTATCTCTTGCAATGATGGAGGAAAACCAGCCATATTCAAGATAAAAAGAGGAACAGTTCTCAATTGCTGACACAACTTATAGTTTTCAAGGTGACTTGAATATATTTTGAACATTCTATTTAGCACTTCTGCCTGTAGATCCTGGCTGCCTGCCTTAAGAAAGATATCCTGTAACATCTGGACAGCTTCAAGGTCTTTAACTTTATTATTACCATGCTCCCAAATTTCATCACCTAGACCATCAGCAGAAAATGAAAAACTTCTGCCATGGCCACTAGTCTTAGTCTGAGAGGATGAAATTTTTCCTTCAACAGGGCCAGCTTGGGCTAGGTTAACAAGAGCATCAAGCAACCTACACAATGTAGGTGAAAGATGTTCAGACTCTTTTTGTGTAAATTCCTGGTCCACTGCATTAACAAATGCATCAGAACCATCTGAACCATAATGGTTGTTGGCAGAAGACTTCAAATAAATAGACTCAATGCCTTGATTTTGATGCATGCTGGACAAAACAAGAGCAAACTGCACAAGGAAATGATAACCATGGGCATTGTGTATATCCTCCCTCAGCCTGATACCACCAGCCTCTACAGGTCAAAATATATAAAATCAGTGGCAATTTAAAACAGTAAAAGTATCAAATATTTTTGAATGTTTGATATCAAACACCAGGACAGCCATGTCATGAGAAGATCACCATTAAGATGCCAACTACCATCACAACAGGACTTGCAATGAATTAACAGAATCCAAGAGTTAGTCAAATGTTCTATACAACCATACAACAAAGAGATCAAGAACCAATTACCCGGTCTATAAGACAATTCCACACATTCAAGTAACAAATCCACTACTCCCACGGTGTAGGCAGGATCACCACAATCTGGATTAAAATCTTTGACAGCCATTAGCAGAACTCTTATCTGCATTTAAGAATAGTAAGTAAGCTGACTTGGCCTGTTTATCTTTGCAACAAGCCCCATGAACCATTTTTTAATGAGTTTGATTAATACATTTATAAACACTGTTTATCTATCTAATATGTTATATTTTTGTTAACTTTTATATAATGCAATTCATCTTAATATCCAGTAAATTACAAATCATTTGTTATTATTAAAATATCACATGCAAAAGATCTCCTACATCACCCAATCAAATATCTCTTGGGAACTAAAACAAAGAGGAAATGTGCTAGTTGTTTTTTTATCAGCCCAGGAAATGTGCTAGTAAAAGACTTTTATCTACCTTCCTTTTCCATTTACTTTGGTCCATCATCATCTAAAAAACCTTTGACTAAGAAGAAACTTAAAATGTTCACCTCTTAACCCACCCAAACAAGCTGTAAATATTTTATGGGACTTGCTGAAGCCTTGAGCTCGCTCTTGGTTTGTTTTTTTAAGAGTATCAAACTAACAAACCTGAGCACCAGAATTTTTTTCTTTTAAGAGAAAATGTTTTCAAAAGCAATTGAGATCTTCTTAATCAATTGTAACAAAGCTATACGGAAGACCAAAATGCAAAAGTGAACCTAGAAACCCTCAAAAAAAGGGGAACTTTTTTAAAAAGAAGAAGAAAGCAACCCCGCAAAGGCCCTAATGCTTTTCAGATATGTTCTTAAAAGCTTATGGCTTTATGCAATTGCATACCAGATGATGTTGGTGAATATATTTGGCTGTGCTTCCATTGTCATTGACCAAAAGAAGACGAAGTATCTGGGCCAATAAGAAAAAATTATTAATAACAAGGTCCAAAACAACACGTCGTAAAAGCTTATACAAGCCAACCTTAATTCATGTCATAAAAATAAAATAAAATAAAATACAAAGAAGAACAAAGCAGATTTACCTGCATAGCATGTCTGTGAAGTTGAATGCTGTGCAATGAAACTAGACCTTCCTTGTATTGAGAGAAGACTGTAAAAGACCCATTAGCAACCATCTGAAACAGCACCCTAAGAGAATCATCCTCAATCAAACTCTGTGCTGCTGAAGGATGGCCTGCCAATGCTTTCATAACATGCACTACACTTGCTTCTACCTGCATGAGAAGTTAATGGGGTACAATTAAATTCAGATAGCATTGTTAAGTTACTAGTTTCCACAAGGAATAATGAATGAATAAATAGCTGAATTTTTTATGACCCTCTTAACAAAAACTTCATTCACATATTATAAATTGAATAAATGGACAAGTGCTCTGTAGTCTAGAAACATATATTCAGCTAGAATTGCAGGCTATGCTAGGTTCTCATGTCAAATTCCCTTCAAGTAAACAAATTACAAGAGTACAGCTTCCCTACATGCTTTCCCTTTTTGAATTCACATCTCATGTGCATGTCTACAGAATAGAATTTGAACCAACAGAAACCATTCCATGACTAGAACACGTAGCCACCAGCCAAAGACCTCAGCAAGCCACTGCTTATTTTGGATGGCTACATATTCTGCTAAATTATTGAAAGGACACTGGCAACCATCCACATTGAGAAATATATTAAACCATGAGCAAAAAGAATGAAGGTTATGCAGAGGCTCTACTGCACAAATAAAACATACATCAAAGAAAGTTCAGGTCAATTTTGTTTATTTAAAAGTTACAGAAATAGATAACAAAGAATAAGATCTAATTTTCTAGCATCATAAGCATTACAGTTTCACAAATTAAGGAACATCTAACAACATGCAATATTCAATATTTACACAGCTAAGAAACTTCATAACAAAGCAGGCAGCAATTCATCAATAATCTGTATCATTTGAAAACCATCATGTCAGGCATGCCACATTGCTTGATTATCAACTTCCTTGTCATCTACAAATAAGGGCATCATTCCTCAAGAACATGTCCAAGAAAGCTCCTCTTTTAGAATCATCAATGCATTAGTTAAGAATGTAGAAGTATTTTTTTACTATCTAATTATTTTTAATGTTAATATAACTTGCTAGGAGAAAATGCAAAATCAAATTACTTTAGGGCACCATAAAGGGAAAAGAAAAAGACATCTAGACAAAAAGAATGGTTGAAATCTGTTAGTTTTTTTTATCCATATTAACTTCTCATGAGTGAGAATGATGATCAGGCAAAGATTGTACACGAACAATGAAAAAAGCAAGTTCGGGTATACATACATAATCATATTTAAATATACTTCTTAGGATACATCACATAAACAGAAAATCTAAGGAATAATTTGCAGAAAATCACCTCAAGTTGGTGGACTTGCCCAACATCAGCAGCAGAATCCGTTTCAGATAGCAGTGATTCCTCAGAATCATTAACATTTTGACTCTGCTTAGCTTCATTAGAACTCAAAAGAGCATTCAGAACTTGTATGAGACAGCAAAATATCCCAGAATCAAGTAGAGATTGTTTATCAATGGGCTGCAGACAATAAAAGGTATTGGATAGTACTTAAATTTTAAGAAAAATAACAAACTAATAAAGTGCAGTCAATAATAAATTTGATTGATTAATTCTATTTGGTTAGAAAAGATTAATCAAACATACCCCAGATACCAAGACTTCAACAGCAGTTAACAAATTTGAACCTGGACTGAAGCCATCCTGCAGATTGCATAGATAGCATAGATGAATTAAGCTCCAAACAACAAATCATTCAAGAATAGTTGAAGGAAAAGAATAGATAAGGGTGTGTGTGAGTGTAGAGATAGAAAAAAATCAAACATGTAAACCTTTGTGACTTCAGAGAAAAATCTTAAAACTCTTGATACATCCAAGGACCTTGTTTTGCTGCCAATTTTTAACTTTTCAATATCTGTTACAAATGCTCTTCCCACAACAAAAGAGAAAATATGTGTTTCGACTAACCTGCAATTCATCAAAACTCTTAAAGTTATCAACATGCCCTGTGTTAACTAATAAAAGAAAACAATGATCCCATATGAATCACAAGATAGCATTTTATTCCCACAAGACATACAAGTGAGAGAAATAAAATTATTCTTCATAAGGTACATATAGAAGTCAGTAACCTAACTATTCTCAGAAAATTATAGATCTAATAATTTAACTAGTCTCTAGTGACAAGGTGTAGATGCAAATAGTCTTATCCAAATGGGAAAGACATTTGTTGCTACAATCCAATCTATTATTTAGAAGTTCATATGCTATATACAATCTAATAACCTAAAATAAATAAATATACAAAAGTAGCGGACAGCACATATAGTTTGAATAGTCAAAAATTGCATTCAACATTACTGTACTAGAGGTTAAGGATCATAGGCAATCTTGAATGTTAAACTCCAACACCAATCCAAAAAATAATAGAAGGAAATTTTGGAAAAAGGGCAAAAGAAAATGACTCAAAGGGGAAAATTTTACTTGTCCAGGAGTGTCATAAGACATGTAAACATAGAGGAGACAGCACACTTCAATGAGAATATGAGACAAGTCAGTTGGGCCTTTTATTGATTTGTATCATTGAAGATAAAGCAGCATGGCTACAAATAAATTTAAAAAGGATGTAGAATATTGCCTTTGTCAGAATAATGTAAAATTGAAATCAGAGTATGGTTATTCTTCTCTGAAATATTTTCCAATCCACCATGGGAAAGGACAATAAATATTCAAAATTCAAGTTGGTGAATCATTATTTCTGGATGACACAAGTGCAAGGGTAAATGACAAGAATGGAGCAACTAATTCAATATCCATTATCGGTTAGTTGCAATATCCATTATCAACCACGAATGGGTACATGAAGAAAACTTACCCAATGGGCAGGAGAAAAAATGGTTTGGTGGAGGAGAGAAAGGTGAGAGGTATATCATAAACCAATCTTAATTGCTATTTAAAACAAAAATCATCTCTGTAAGAATCAAACAAGCAGATATAAAGGATCAGACTTCATACATGGTAACTAATTGAGCTACATTAGCATGATGCTTCGCTAATCTACAAAAAGCATCTACAGCGAAATTCAAGGCCGCTTCTTTCTCCTGCATGACCAACAAAAGACATTTAAGCACACATGAGTTAGTTAATGACTAATTTCATCCTACAGATGTGAGATGTAGGAAAGCATGCGTAGAACCAAAAATTTAAAACTATCATAAATTCAGAAAATAAATACAAAGACCAGCAAGAACCTTCTCGGAATTGGAAGAACGGAACTCTTCCCAAAACCTCTTGAAGTCCAGCTCCAATTCACGCTTGTCTCTGCTGCCACAGGAACAGGTAAAGGGCAATCAAAAGGATAAGAAAAGAAAATGTCAAAAGAACAAAGAAAAGGCAGCATTGCACAACTAAACAAGATCACCAATCAAAACATATAAAACGAAGCTATATAGTAGGTATGCTTTCCCTGAACAGCTTTAACACACCCAAGTCAAACCCAATCTTATTCCCTTAACCTTGTAATCTGATTCCTCTTTTTCTCCTCTTCTCTAGTTCCATGCTTTCATAGATAGCGAAATATCACAGCATAATCAAAGATTCATCCATGTCAATACACCATTGCAAATTTAAACTCTACCACCTCTCCTCATTACCACGGATAAACAAAAAGTAATCACCATCTCATGTTCCCTATTTTCCTCACCATTAATCCCACTATTCCGAGTATTACTTTTAACACTAATTGAGCCAATAGATAGCCTTAGAATGCTAAGGCTATTCGCAGACCAACACTTCCTACACCTTAGGACTAACCCAAGCAGAACTCGACCACTCGAAAATAAATTTAAACATCTTTGGTGATTCATCGGGTACAGCAGGCAATAATTAGCTGATTAAGTTATCATCGGAAGAACACATCCATCCAACAAAAATAATAATAATAATTACAGTAAGCATAATAAATTTAGAGAAAAAATAAAATCCAAATGTTAGCAAACCAAATATACAATTAAAATTGCAGTGCTCCATTACAAAAACTAATCATCAAATATTCAAATTCAAACCTGATGGAAATTACACAACAACGAAATTTAAAAAAAAAAAAAAAAAACTATAAGCTAGAATCGAACCTGGAAGGAGAATAAAGGAAGTCATGGATATTCGAGGAAGCATTGCGATCTTGATTGGAGGAGGAAAAGTAGGAAGAAGAAGCAGCAGCAGCAGTGGAAGTGGCAGCACTAGGAGAAGAGGAAGAAGAAGGAGTTAACCCGACCTTTTCCTTGATGTCCTTAATCAATGATGTCCATTTCATTGTTTTCCCTCTCGATCCCTGAAACATGCCACTCCTCTCATCCGAAGCTGCCGCCGCCGGCACCAGATCCTTACCTTCTAGAATCCGTCTAGAAGGATCTCATGCGAGCTCCGGTTCCGATTGCCGCCTTTCACACACACCCCGCCGACCAAATCCAATACAGCAAGTTTATTATAATTTTGAGGAGATTGCGTGACACAAAGTAGGAAATGTGATGCAGAAAAAGAAGGATCTGCGATTAATTCGTCTCAAAAATTGATTATTATGGTAGGAGCATTAAAATTTCTTTTTTCCAGATCCTCAGTAGTTTCCTTTTTCGAAGGAAAAAAATATTTTTTCCTTTTTTTTTATAAACCCTAAAAAAGTGGAGGAGGAGGAGGAGGGAGAGAGGAGCTAACGAAAACGCTACTTTGGTTTAAAGAAAAATTTGATCGACAAAT